TTAAATACGTAGTACATGCTTTCGTATAATTTAATAATCCGTCATCGTTTGTACTTCTGCCGTCGGCGTAGCATGACGAGACATAAGAAGTGTGACGTAATCGATAAAATTCAATGGTTCCTATGCTTATCACGGCTTGTTCTACGTACAGGTTATATCGCAAGTTACCGATGACGCGTCAAGCCATAACTTGGTTGCTTGTCAAGGTACAGTGATAAAAGACACAGTGGAGGTAAAATCCGAGTCCAAAGGGGCGAGGCGAACCGGAATTTACGTAAATAGCGATTTTTTTATAGCCGACGTCGATATATCGGTTAGGTTCATGTGATCGACTGTTCTGTTTAAGCGTCTGTTGCCCTGGAGGAACGCAGCTTCTTTGATGTTTCTTAATCGAAAGTTGTCTATTCGATGATTGTGTGCTGCTGATCGATTTCATGCTTTTTAGCTATTGACAGATTATCGAGTAACGGCAGAGTTATTTTCGCGTTCATCTGCCTCCTCCAACCTCGTCGTTGCTGCGCGTGGTCTTTTTCTCTTAAATCAACGTTGTTCTGACTCAGGGTTTTGGATGTGCTGTTTTCTTTCTCTCGATGGAACCGTTTTATGATAAGAAATTAAGATCAGGTATCATGTTAAGTCATGATAGCCATTTAATGAATGGCTTCCAAGACGCAGTGCGTACCGAATTATTCACCACGTATTTTGTTAGGCCGTGTATTTCACGTATTCCGGAGAGGTGCTTTAAAGTGCGCCTTGCCTCTTGACGTGATTCATGCAGTACACAAATTCTGAGCATGGGCCCGTCTCTAAGATGCTGGTCATGCTTGCAGCTGCTGTTGCAAAGCGGAATCCCAACACCGTAGTCAAACAGCACATGAAAGTCAGTCTAGCAGGTTGTGAAAAACCGAACTACTATGCACTAATTGAGATTTATTGTTATGCTGTACGACTGAACGGTGTTCCGATTAACGTCTGACGCGATTTCTTAGGCTAAGGGCGTCTCTGTGAGATTTGCGGTATTCAGCTTATGATGGATGTCACGTGTCTTGACGATTGCATAATCCTCGGTGGTTAAAAGTCCGTCAAGTCTAAGTTCGCCTGCGACCGTTGTGACCGAGACAAACGCGGGAAGCGGTGGTTTCAGTTGAAACGCTAGCTCTTCAACAAATCATTATTTTCAGTAAAAATCTGTCTGCGCTTGGTGTAGATCAATGATTTACTGCCTGCGAGAATGAGGTAATGTCAACAGGTGTCTGTGCTGTCAGCTCTTCGACAGAAAAACCGGTTATTCGACCCACGCCGTCTGCTCTGACAGATTTCCACTT